GAAGAAGAAGAAGAAGAAGAAGAAGAAGAAGAAGAAGAAGAAGAAGAAGAAGAAGAAATAGAAAGTGCAGAAACAAAAACTAGAAAGAAAACTAGAAACGAAAAAATAAGAATATGGTAAAGAAAAAGAAAATAAATATATAAAGAAATTACTTCCCCCTTCATCACAGGTACAAACAATTTTAATAACTTAGCACCTTCTCTTAAAATACAACAAATGATCTCTTCTCCCCATATCTCAAACCGCTACACCCCACTGGCTCTCATATAGCAGTTAGCACTATTAAAACAAATAGAAAAAATAAAATAAAAGGAAAGATGCCACAACATAAAAAATAATAAATATTCATTAACAGGGAGAAGTTAAAAGACAAGACTATTTCTAAACTTTATTATACTTTATTGTGATGATTAATATACTTTATTATAGTTATTACTAAATAACTTAATATTAAAGTATTATTGACATTTCTTTTTACATTTTAAATTTTTATTAAATTTCCTTTAAAATGTCAAGCATGGCTGTCAGATATTAAACCTTAAAAGCATGATAAACTAGAATAAAATTATCAATAATGTGATCATTGGAAGTATTTTTAAAAGAAAATTTTCAGGACAACACATGTTATGAATATACATATACATTTGAGACAACACCAAAGGCCTATGTGAAGAGATAAGAGGACTTCTTAAAATGATGGACAGTAATGGTAAAAATTATCAGAAGCTCGACAAGCTAAATGGCTAATAGAAGAAAACGTTTTTGCATTTCATCACTTTGCATGGTGATAGAATGCCATCAAAGAGAGGGGTAAATGAAGTTGAAATCAGGTGATGTGATACCATTTGGGTGACTCTATTTCATCTCCATCTTGTATTTCAGAAATTTGGCAGTAAAATTGCCGATTTTCTGCTCTCTGTTTTTCATAGTTTACTGAGAAGATTAAAAAAGCAACTTGGTGGTGTCAAGATTAATGGAGTCATATTGTCCCATAAACTTGCAAGATTGTTACGAAAGATGCAAAACAAACTCTAATGATATTACTTGATCACTAGTCACAGCCTTGCAGCCCTGGAGGAAAAATGTTGACAGTTAATTAGTAGCTCTGACTGAAAAAAGGTAACTAGTCCAGCATCTCTACTCAAGACTTCATCTACTAAAATAAAAAGAATTACTCCCAAAAACTGCTTACAAGAAATAGCTAATTTTCTGCTGTCTGTTTTTCATACTTTGCTACAAGACTAAATGGCAGATTTGCAGTGTTAAACTTAAGGCAGGTATATGGCTCTTTAAACCTTGCAAAACACTTATGAAAAAAAAATCAAGATTATCTATATAGGTTAATCCCTCCACCCCAATGTTGCTTTATTACCAGCCACAGCTCTGCAGTCCTGCAGGAATGGAAAAACAGTCAAAATTGTATTAGGAGCTCTGGTTGCAAAAAAGGCATCTGTCTCTGTTTAGCAGCTATTTTACAATTTTACTTCATAAACAAAAGATATAACTCCTTCCAAAAATTCTCAATTTCTTGTCAATCCGTCTTAAAGCTTTGTGAACATCTTTATTTCTTAAAGTATAGATGACAGGATTGGCCAAAGGAGTCAGGATTGTGTAAAAGATGGAGAAGACTTTATTGAGGTATCTCAGAGTCAAAGTGTCTGGCAGTAAATAGACTATGATAATGGTGCCATAAAAAAGACAAACCACCATGAGATGAGAGGAGCAGTTTGAAAAAGCCTTTTGCCTTCCAATGCTGGATTTGATTTTTACAATGGCAATGATGATATACAAGTATGATGTGATTGTCAGAATAAATGGAATCACAGCATCAATGAAGGAAAGGAGAAAGACAATGAGTTCAAGCAAGCCTGGGTCAGTACAGGATAATCTTTCCAGTGGGGTCAAGTCACAAAAGTAATGGTCAATGGCATTGGGGCCACAAAAGGATAGCTGAGTAAGCAGAAACACAGTGATGCCATTCGCTATTAACCCATTTAGCCATGCCCCAGCTATAAGCTGGAAACATAGTTTCCTACTCATAATGAAAGTGTAAAGGAAAGGTCTACATATAGCCAGATAGCGGTCATAAGACATTGCTGCAAGGAGACATGTTTCTACAGTTGCAAAAGAGCCAAAGAAATAATATTGGGTTAGACATTGACTCACAGTAATAGTTGTGTTTCCAGTTAACAAACTGGTCAACATTTTTGGCAAGATACATGAAGTATAGCACATCTCCAGGCAGGACAAATTCCCCAGGAAAAAGTACATGGGGGTGTGAAGGTGTGGGTCAGCCACAACTAGCACAAGAATAAGGAAGTTCCCAGTTATTGTCACAAGATAAATCACCAGGAATAGCGAGAATAGCAGAGGCTGCAGCTCCGTCGAATTCCCTAAACCCAGGAGGATGAATTCTGTGATGCCTGTCACATTTTCTTTCTCTGCATCCAGCATTTTTTCTGTTCTCTAAATGTCATGCAAAAGAATGCAATCAGGAAATCTTGAATCTGAATTCTCCACTGCATAGGTTAAAGTCCCCAAATTCCCATTTCCAAAAGCTGTCTGCAGTTTGGAATAAAAGATGTCATTTACAATGAACCATCACAACTCTCCACCTGCTGATAAGGCTTTTAACTAGTAAATGAAATCATAGTGGTGATTGACCTCAGAAGGAACCTTTTGTCCATCTATCTTTTTCTGTGGGTATCCAAAGGCCTGAAAAAATGAGAATTATGAGAAATATACTGAGTCGGTTGTAATGTTTAACACCCCCGTAAACAAAACCTGTAGCAGATACAGGAATTCAGTCTTGTATAGTTGTTAGTAACAATAGTGATATTAAAGAAAGATACAAAATAATACTGTTAAGACTACTTGGATATTTGTCTATGATACTCCTTCATCCCTACTTCCCCATCCTAAAGTATACAATTGGATATTAACTCAGGTACTAAAGTTACAACTGATCAAGGAATTCTAACCAGAGGAAAAATATTCCTGGAAAGGGATATTCAGGTCTGTGCATAAGATATGAGTGTTAATTAAATCTGATCGAAACAATGAGATTGAAAGAATGATTTATTTATTTTTTATTTATATTTCCATCCATTACACTGCTGAGTGACTCTGGGTGGTTTACAGTAAAAACAGTAAAAACAGAATAAACATTAATTGAACATTAATTCATATTATTTCCCTTGATTTCAGAAAAGAAAGAAGTGATCATGATAATTTAATATTTTTCCAATCTGTCCTTAAAATTCTTCCAGAATGTTTAATAGTGACTGACATCAAATCATGCTCATTGGGAAGCAGAAATCTTCCTTCATGCAGCATAGAATTGATATATACAAAAGAAATCATACACATAGGATGATGACCACTTGTTTCCTCACCTTTAATGAAGAAAATACTATTAACAGCCAATTGTCATCATGGCTATTAACTCACCTTAGACTGAGAAGTAGCATTTGCCTCAGTTTCAGATTGGGAAACATGCATTGGAAGGTATAATTGTGGTCAAAGATTGCTTTTAGACTTTCCATAGAATAACATATTTTTATTTATTCATTCATTGCCAATGTCATCTTACCTTTATATTATCTTATTATGTTTCTTTTATCTTGTTTGCTGATAAATAAATTATATATTGAACAAATAGTTTCTTTACGCACTTACAGAAATATGTGTCCGTATCTTGCCCTGATTGTTGTGGATCTTCCTGCAAAAGCATATGGTTTTGTACAAGAAATCATAGTCATTATAGCTAAGAGCTATTGAGACTATCCCCCACAAAATAGTCTTATCCCACTTCAAGAACACTAAACTGGAATATTATTTGGGATTATCACCATAAATTATTGCAGCCTTTCTCAGAATGACAAACTGAGTCATTTAGTGAATCTAGTGCAATGTCAAGCAAGACTGGACTCAATCCTAGTCAACATTTGTCCAGATGGCCAAGCCCAGAGCAGACCAGATTACCAGGTCATCTTTCCAAAGGCCATAGACATGTAAGATGGCTATGCTCACTAAACAAAGGTACATCATATTTGCAAATAATCAGGTCAACGCTATTTTAGAGTCTAGAACATACTGATATAAAAATGATGTGGCAAAGTGAGTTAATGTTAAATTACAGAGTTAGTTTCCATCATACTTGTCTCAATTTTAGGGATGAAGGGACTGAAGGGTCCTGAGTCACAATGTTGACCAATAAAAGCTGACTGGAACTTACCTGCCACAAGTGATTGTCAAATTCGTATGTCCTATCCCTCACTATTGCTACATCTCAAAATTACTGGCAAAAAAATGACAGTACACACTGTCACAACATTCTCCACTATAAAAATAAATGCCCCTAAAATACCTTTCACAAGCATTTAAGGTAAATGAGGGAGATGTGCTGTTGATCTTCTGCTTTTCAGAAGAACCTGTAAGATGCAGCCAGTCTCCTAAATCCCAAAGAGTATTATTTACATTAATTATTTCTCCTTGGGATTTTTGTCTTGCTCAAAACATCTTACTTCAGAAGACTAAATGAAATCTTTCTCAAGAAATGCATCTTGAGAGTCTGCAGGGTCACATTCATGCACACATGATGACAAGTGACCTGTAGGATCTGTTGACACAGTTTGTATTTCATACAGTCCATATTTGCTCTCCATTCTTTGGTTCCATGTTATCTTGGAAAAGATATTGTAGTGTACTTCCAGATGATTGTAGTGATCATTTTTTTTAACTCCATTGGTCACACTTTTCAATCTGCAAGGAAAGCAGTCTTTCAGATTAGATGGAGAGTGTTTATTTGTATTACAAATAAAGGAAATATGACAAGTATTACAAATAAGCAAAGTACAAAGTACTACAAAATCTGAAATAGTACAAGAATAATCTATTAATGTCTGGATGGTGATTTTTAACTCCAAGTAAATTTATACTGAATTAAATAAAAGAGAAGTCTTTGATCAAGTTCTCTTGATGTCCTACTCAAGAGATCTTATTTCTGTTTTAGGCAGGCAATATCCCTATAAAATCCCACTGGATAATTTCTCACCTGAAGGCAAGGGTTAGGGTTAGGGTTAGGGTTGACATATGCAGAGCCACTCCCTGTACTCAGACACAAGCGTCAACTCCAATTGGAAGCCTTACTGTGATGTGACAATGGTCTTTCTGTTTCCAGCATCAGGGCGCAGTGGTCAGTTTCTTCTCTTCAGGAAGGCAGCCTTGTTATGGTGTAACAGTGGCCATCATTTCTATTTCTGGCAGTCAGCGTCAGACACAGTGTTCACTTTCTGTTCGAGATCAGTCTGTTTTTCAGATTCAAAAACTGAAAAGCCTGCCCTCAGGAATTAACAGAAGAGAATGTACGGGTAGAAGAAGCACTTGTACTGAGCCCAGTGTCCGTGAACTCAACTGGAAGGCAATGTTCAAACTCCTGTTGTGAAATCATAATGAAGATAAATGCTTTCTGTTTTAGCCAGGCAATACCACTACAAAATCACACTGGACAACTTCTCACTTGAAGGCAAGAGAAATTGGCAAAACCATCCATTTTACTCGGGTGGGCAGCATCAGGACACAATGGTCAATTTCTTTCAGGGATCAATCAGACTCTTAGCCTGGGTCTCAGGAATTAACAGGATAAAATATTGTGATAGGAGATATAGATTCAATCATGCAAGGATGACTCAGAGACTGAGTAAATGAAGTCTCCAGCCCTGCAGTGCATTCCTTTATCTGATAAATGTGTACAGAAGCATTTGCCTGAAAATCCTAAAATGATTGGTTATCTCAGTAACTCAGAGAGTTTAGATATTTCAAATGCATAGTTTCTACAGAAGAAAGCTGAAAAAAAAATTACTCAAGCCATAGCTTGTCATAGGTGAGAAGGGATCCAAGCATGTTTACTGTTTTGTTGCATGAGTGTCAAATTCTTCACCTTTCAGGTGAAAAAATAGGTGTCCTGCATCAAACATTGGCCCTTCTACTGGCAATACCTCACAAGTAGCAAGAAGTATCAAGACTGAAGATGAAACAGAGGCAATGTGGGCATGAAATCACAATCAAAGTCTTTTTCTTTTAAGTGTATGAACATAGTCTATCACATATTAAACTAGGCTTCTATACATATATGATATACACCATTTCCATTGTCTTTCTGCTCTGAAACAACACTCAAGACAGCTTATCTTCATATTCCTCTATGAACCTCCCTAATTAAACTGAAGTCACACAGATTCCCTAGCTAAAGTCCTTAGTCCAAAAGAATAGCATGAAATCAGAGGCAATATAGAGGATATTTCAGTAAGAACTCTGCAAATTCAACTTGTGCATTGGGATGTTCTTCTACTGGAAGCAGAGAAGAGAAATCAATTGAGAAACCCAGAAATTATGTCTGCTCAGGGGTATTACCAAGTCTGTTCAATCTGGTTTATGCCAATAGGTTGTTAAATTCTACATTTGTTTCAGCTACTCTAATACCTCACCTTTTTTCTGTTCTGCCCAAAGAAGCTGGTTGATCCACACATAGTGGGAAGAAAAGCATAATTATTTGGATACAATGTCTCCTAAATGTCAATCTGTTTGCTTCCCCATTTAGTTTTGTGGAACTCAGGACACAAAACTCTGTTACAAACACCATTCTAAGCAGAGGTAGAGCCAGTCACTTTAGGATTGTGACTGATGCCTCTTAAATAATTAGAGCTTTAGATTTATTTTTAATTATTTAACTGCTTACCATATCAGCAATATTAATTGGGGAGGAGGTAAACAAAGGAAAAAATGTAACTATCCATTTATATTTTCCCCATTCATTCAGAAAGAGGGATACAAAGCTACTGTTCCTTAGCAAAGCAACCAGGATTTTTTCCTTTAACTTTTTGTTATCAAAAATGCCTTTGTATCAAAAAGAATGATTTAAATAGAATATATTTTCTGCCATTGTTTTATTACAAAACGATTATATTTCTCAATGGTTTCAAATTTACTTTATTAAAACTCTAATATTTAGAAGAGATTTCTGAATTTGGGATATCTAGTGGTGAATAAATTCAAGCCTTTTTGAAATGTTGGTGGTTCATGGTTCATAGTGGTTCATTTTTTAAATCCCCTCCTTATTAAATGGGATTGTGCATTTGCAGTATTGTGCATTTGCAGTATTATTTTAATCTTTGTGAAATAATATAGATCTCTTCTTCTTCTTCTTCTTCTTCTTCTTCTTCTTCTTCTTCTTCTTCTTCTTCT